CCCATGTATGTAAGCCGAGATTAACCAGAACGCTGCGGGCACTCTCCGCAGCTTGGTCGTATCAATGTCCCCATTGCCAAAATTAGGTAAAGGAAACACTCTTAGAACAGGACCGCATCGGCTGCAATCCGTTTTAGGATATTTTCTTGTGCGCTCACTAATAATTTATTTTCGGAGGTTTCAACTATGGAGTAGTAAGCGTAGACCCAAACTATCCTTTCTACGATACATTTCAGACAATATACATTCATATATAGCGGTGTAAAAGAAGCGCTTACATAAAAGAAAAGACGTTCAACGGAGTATGAAATAGCTTCCTGACTATGACTAGGTACGAACAGTACGCTAGAAAAACAACAAAGCTGAGCTATTCAAGTACATGCATCAGCTCTTATGCAGAATATGGTCAGATAAACGCACGTCCGATGACTGGAATTTATGTGTGCTTTGCCCAATCCCCAAAAAAGGGGACCCCGCCCGTATCGCCAACTACCGCGGGATCAGCCTTCTAACCAAAGGTTATAAGGTTTTACCGTGTGTATTACGTAAAAGACTGAAGCCCGCCGTCAATAAACTGATTGGACCTAATTAGTGTGGCTTTAGACCTGGTAAATCCAGGTATTCACAACACGCAAACCTTTGGAAAAGACCCGCGGAAATAGGATCGACACAAACCATCTATTTGTCGATTTCAAAGCCGCTTTCGACAGCACTAAAAGCAGTTGCCTATACGCCGCTATGTCTGAATTTAGCATATTCTCAAACCTGATACGGCTGTGTAAAATGACGTTGAGCAATACCACCAGCTCCGTCAGAAAACGGGGTTTGAGACAGCACGACTCCTTCTCATGTGATTTCTTTAATCTGATGTTGGACAAGATTATAAGAGCTGCAGAACTGAACCGCTGAGGAACAATTCACTACAAGAGCGTGCAAGAACCGTGAAGGCGGTTCTGCCTTTTCCAAGCTGGATAAAGAAGTAAAGCGAATGGGACGAGAACATAGTTATAAAGTGGAGAATTTCGTTTACTTGGGAACCAGCATTAACATCGATAAAAATGTCAGCATCGAAATCCAACGCAGAATCACTCTTGCCAATAAGTGCTGTTTTGAACTCAGAAGCTTAGACAATGACAACATCCGATGAGGTGGCTCTTGGAGTATTCGAGAGAAAGATTTTGCGGAAGACTTACGGGCCTTTACGCGTTGGCGACGGCGAGTACCGCTGACGATGGAATGATGAGCTGCGTGAGCTTTAAAACGATATAGACATACCGTAGCGAATTAAAATACAGCGGCCCCTCTGGCTTGGCCATGTCGTTCGAATGGACTTCGACTCCAGCTCTGAAAGTATTCAATTCGGTGGTAGTAGAGAAAGAGGGAGGCCCCACTGCGATGGAAAGATCAAGTGGAGAAGGACTTGACTTCGCTGGCCATTTGCAATTAACGTCAGTTGGTGCAGAAGAGAAACGACTGGCGTGCTTTGTTGAACTCGGCCAAAATCTCTTAGGCGGTTACTGAGCCAAATAAGAAGAAGAAGAGTGGTTGAAGGGTCGGATTACCACTCGGTAGGTAGGTGCAGGGTTCAAACCCTCCCAGTGTACTTCATATACCCATTTTCTCTTCGGAAGCGGCGTAAAATTGTAGAACTCTCCATTTGTGTTATAAACTCAGGGCGCACACCACAAATTGGAGGAGAAGCTCAGCACCATTATTACATATATTCAGTTGAAGTGACGTGACTCAATAAGAATATAACCAGCACACTACCGCTGAGCCAAACATGCCATATAAACATAAGAGCCTGCAGCAAAAAGGCAATCAATTTCGAAAAACAATTAAATCAATTTCAATGATAAAAAAAATCCTACTTTCATTGCTTGGCGCTCGTACAAACACTTGCAAACGTCAATTTTCTATAATCACTTAATCAATCAAACCACTTTCCGTACGGTAGAAAAAAACACGTAGATTTTTTTTTTTGATCTTTAATTAATTTATTTCCACTTTTATTTACCATAATTATTATTAATAATAATAATTTGTTTCAAGTTTAAATAACAATCACATTTACATTTTCCAAATATTTTTTTTGGTTAATTTGATTTTCCATTCACAAAATTAACCCTTATTTTTTTTTTGTTTGGTTGCTTACATATCGCAATTTGGCATTTAATACATTGTTTTTTTTTGCGTATTATTTTTTGTTTGTTTGTTTATTAGTTGTTTAATATTTGTTTTCTGCGAACTCATTATCGCCATCAAAATCATCTGTTTCGTCATTGCAATTATCTCCGTTATGAATTAATAACTACTTATTGTTAAAATTTAAAAATTTACATATGTATGTGTACGTAATAAACACTTGCTTTGTCTTTCATATACATATTTAATTTATTTTCATAATTTTTTTTTTTCAGCTGGACACACACGTAGATACATTCATATGTATGTATGTAAATATGTGTGGAGCTTAATAAACGCGTAATTATGCAGCAACGTTCGCACTGCTTTTCGGGCCTCGATTCTAGTGTGAACATTCTGTGTCATATCGCTGACGATTGCTCTTTTCTATCTGCAAAGGTTTTATAGCTAACAAATACATATCTATTTGCTCTGTTTTACTTTTTCTTTCTGGCTTTTTTTTTCTCCTGTCATTGGCTCTTTTCGCGCTGCGCTAATTGTAATTTTTTACTTATGCCCTTTTCCAATAAAAGCAGCAACAATTTTTACTTTTTTACTTACTCTTTTCTGTTCGCAAGTAAAATTTTCGCTAAGTGTAAACTTTATTGTAAAATGTTTGTAAAAATCGGCACATTTTCATTCTTTTGCCTCGTTTTTTTTTGTATGTATACTGATTTGTTCATTTTGTGTGTTGCTTTATTTGCTTTTAATATATCTCCTAATTGAAGTATGTATGTATTGGCTTTTTTCGAAATATTTATTTAAATTTAATCTATTTTCTTGTTTACATTCTATCAGTTAAAGTAATAGTTTAATAGAATAGACATTTAAATTGCGTGTTATTCAAGTATACCAAGGTGTGTCTTCGTTAGTGTGTGTGTGTGTGTGTGTGTGTGTGTGTGTGTGTGGTTGGATTGAAATACATACTAAATAGTTAGCGGTAAGTCAAAGTTGCTTCCACATCGGTGGCTCATTACAGCACTAAAAGCGCTCTTAAGCTTCTACAAGTGTGAAAGCTCAGCACATTGACTTTCACTCAACCTTTGCGACATGTGAAAGCCCAAAATGCTTTCTCAATCAAACTTATAAATACTTTTTGGACTTAAACAGTTATTTTGACAAATTTAAAATTTGGATTCAATAAATTACTGACAAAATTTAGCTACATTTTGTGGTACTAACGTTCAACGCATGAACGGTTTCATTTTAAAGAATTCATTAGGTTGTGTTTTTTTTTTGTTCTATTCACTAGACGTCTAATAAATGTGTCCACTATTTCGCTCTACAATATTAAATGCGATTTACGAAATCCCTAAGCGCAATATATGGAAAACTGCTTGGAATTCTACAATGCTAATTAAATGTGGTAAGTTTGCTGGGATGATGTATGTATTTGTGTTGCAGCAGAAAGTTCTCCAAGGCTCTTTTGTTGTAAAATGGTCTGTCGAAGCGCCTAGGTAAGAATTTCTGGGTACTTACATGTATGTATGTATGCATGTATATATTCATGTATGAACTGTATCTATTATTCATCATGAGTTCCTTTACTTTGCGAAGAGCTTATAATTCTTATGACCGATTCTTTAATATTCGAGTATTTTTATGAGTGTATGTATGAATGTATATTGGCGCATACTGCTTCTTTGTATATATTCGAATGCAGGTCATTTCCTTTGAATTGCTAATACATAACGATTTTACTTTTCATCTCAGTAACTAATGATAAATATCTGCCACTAAGTTTGGCTAGCAATCTATTGCTATTCCGATTGCGGTCTTCCTAATATATATTACTAGTTAGGGATTTATTTATGTATCTTAAGGAATATTTGGCAAAAAAATTAAAGAATTTGAAGGTATACTCGTATCTCAAAAACTTAAATCAATCCAACTAGCCATTGAATATTTACCGAAAATAGTTTCTCAATCGTTTTTCAGAGGTGATACGCTGATCACCATAAAATGTGTGTGTAAAAGCAACAATAACGTTATCGAGCTCAATTCAATGCAAGAGAGTATGGGGATACCTCACTCAAGTGTTCTAACTTTCTAAGTCGTCTTCTCTCTATGTTCTCCTATGTCTGGATTTGCTACATGAAGATGTTTGTCGAATGTCATTTAACAGCTGACCGTTCAAGAATAAATCTCAATACAAGCGATTTAGTTGTGTTTTCATGAATTTTTTATGAGTTTAAGATGACAGACCAAATTGTGAATTTTCGCCATTTTTACTGTTTTACCGCCGAGATGGAAGAATGCGCGTCAAGCTCGTGGAAATAACGCTAGAGCGAAAACTGGTTTTTACGCTCGTAATTTTTAAGATCAAAGATGCTACTAGATCAGAAGGTAAGGTTGGCGGCTGATGACGAAAATATAAAGGCATGGACCAAGTCTTATCACAAGTTTGGAAGTCAGTTAAAATATTCTTCCCTTCCGCCTAAAGAAGCAAAAAGTTCGATATTTGGATCCACATGAACTCAAAGAAGTTCAATTGACGCAGCGTATAAATATCTGCGAAATCCCGGTGAAATATGAAGAAAAAGATTTTTCGGATTGTTTACAATAATACGGAAATCAAGCTGTATTGGTCCCGATTTGATTTTTTGCCTCAAACTATTTCAAAATCGGAACTTCATAAAAGGAAGTATATCGACACCTGAGTGGAATATCGGCCTATCTCTGCAGCCACTTCGAGAACGCCTTATCCAAAAAAACTTTTCAAGAACGCCCTATTTCAAAATTTGGTTGAAGAATACCCTATCTCAGAATTTTATTTAAGAACGCCCTATCTCAGAATTCGGGTCAAAAACGCCTTATCTCAGAACATTTTCAATAAATTTTTCATTTTCTTCAACCAAATTCGGAAGTAGGGCGTTCTTAAAAAGTTTTCCCAGATAGGGCTTTTTCTAACTGGCTGCCAAGTTAGTTCGATCTTCCACTTAGGTTGTGTTGTGTTTTTGAGGACGGGTATTGTCGGCAATTGTCAATAGAAAAAGAGTTGTGTTTCATCAATACCACGCTTTTTTATGAAAAAGTGCTCAAAATCAAGTACTAATTAAAAAAAAGATCGGAATAATTATTGGTTACCAATATGACTAGCTGTCTGAATGGATCAACTAAATCGCCGTGAAATTCCTTCTGTACAAAATCTGACTTGCATACCTTTTATTTCGCTGCCATTGCTCGCTTTTTAAATAAAATATTCAAATACAAAATTGAATGCCCTGGACATGAGACTACTAAGATCCTTTTCTCGGCAAAATGTTTCTATATTTTATAGCACAATTAGAACAATATCCTGCGCTCACTAGATTTATATTTCTTAATACTGCAAAGTATTTCCCCTTTTGTAAGTAGTACTGCTATTTCTCCTTTGACCCTTTCACTTTGTAGCTATGCACTTTTGTAAGTGCAACTTTTGCCTGTTTTTGTTTTTTTATTTGACTTTTTCTTCCATTCGGATTCTTGCATGTAATTTTTCGGATTATTATCGTTTACAAAGTAGACCACTGATTTCGACTAAGTATCGTAAAAACTTACACCCTAATATACAAATACGCGTTTTTCATTTACTTTCTAAATATTCTACTTCATTCTATTGCATACCTACTTTCCACGTCCACATCTTTCCGCCGTCACCGCCGCCGACGCCACTGTAGTCTAACGTCAATGGTTCGCGGTTGGTTCATTCGTTGCATTGCTGGAGAAATTCGACATAACCGTTAGATTTTCTACACCTTCATTTCACTTGCGCAAGCCAATTATCGCTGAACTGAAGAGTCTCTCAGCTCATGGCCTGCATAAAATAACTGCTGCTCAGCATTCATATTAACTGCCATTTACGTCCACGGCAACGGGCATCGGACCGCCGCAAATGCCTCTGTTGACCCCATTCATTCCGTTAATGGCACCCACGCTGTTGGTGTAGTGCACGGGTGAGGAGAGCGGTGGCGATTCTGGTGGTGTAAGTGGAGTTTGAGGCACCTTACCAGTGGGCGCGCCACCTTCGGCGTTGTGGGCTGCAACTGGACTGAGCTCTAAATGTTCTGCCAACAACTGCTCAGCAGCTGCATGTCCATTGTGCGTTTCGTAGCCATTTAAATCGAATTCTGCTGTGGCATTCTCTGCTATATTTCCATTTGTGGCGTCATGACCATTTCCATTTCCATTTGTGAGTTGGTTAGTTGCAGTCGAATCTGCAAGATTGTTGTGTAATAGCTCATTCAACTTTAATTGTGTCGTTGTGGACTCTTCTTCGGTGGTCGATGCGTTAGTGGTGGGTGTTTTCTCTTCCATACTATTCGTGTTGTTGTCATTTAAGTCGGTAACAATAGGTGGTGGTGGAGGTGATGGAGGTGGCAGCGAGTCTAATTGACTGCTCTCAATACCAGCAAAGTCACCAAGTTGTTTTATTTCCTCTGTGGATGGTGGATCTGGTAGGCTAATGATGCTATCGTAGCCATAATTGCCAGCTATAGTTTGTGGAAACATGGGTGGACTTTCATTGTCCCCACTTATGAGATTATCTTCAGAAATTATCTGCTGTTCTGTAAGGCTGGAGATGTGCAGTACAGTGGTATCGACAGCATCATTGTGGTCAGACAACTCTTCTACACATTCCTTGTTGTCGTCAGTGCCATTGGGGACTGGCAACTCTGGCTTCTTGTCCACACATTCTGGTGAATTGTTGTTGTTAATACGCTCTACACTCTCTGTGCTTATCTGCACATCTGTGACAACACTTTCTATTTCATTTTGTATAGTTTCTACTGGGTCTTTTGTTTCTACATCTTGAGGCTCTTTCTCAGTCACAACATTTGTCTGGTCATTTTCTGTTTCATTAACTTCATTTATAATAGCCCCCTCACATTCTTGCTTTGTCGACACCTCTTCATTGAACAATTTAATTTCTGTCACAAGGTTGCCTTGCTGAGGGTCGCTCTCACTCTGCTGAGAGGAATTTATATCCTTCTCCTTTATTATCTGCTCATTTCCTTGCTCATGCTTGCACAGCTCATTGTGAGCGGCGCTGTCGTTGGCTGTGGCTGTTGAACTATTGCCCTGAGCAGCAGGTGAATGCTCAAGACTGTGTCCATTCTCCGATCGGCGATCATCATCGTCGGCGGCGTTGTGTGAATTCGAAGGTAAAAGCGGCAAGTTTGCGGATGTCGATGGCGAGGCATATGACGTCGTCTCTATGGTGTACAACTCCTGATTACCATACGAGTATCGCTTGTTTGAACCAGCCGAAGATGTGGAACTTAAATCGGACTGCGAAAGACCGGTATTAGAATTGCGTACGAGGTTGACTTTCTTCTCATCTCTAAACGAATGTGGTGAAATAGCGGGTTCTTCTAATTCGACGATTTGATGTAAACTGCGTTCGGGCATTTCTTCTGCGTAGCTCGGTAGTTGATGGTGTATAGTTTCTGGTGGTGGTTGATGGATTTGTATCTCATCGTGATTTCTCAAAATCTTTTCATCGTCTGATCGAAAAGAGGTCGCGGCCGCAGCTGCAGCTGGTGGTGGTGTTTCATAGATGGGACGTGGTTCTTCGGTGGTTGGGCTGTTTGGAATGCTTTTGGAGTCGACGCCGCGCGCAACTTCTACAACAAATACGCCATCCTTCTCGGAGGTATTGTAATGCATTGTAGTTTCACGAGCGACGCGCGATATATCCTAGAAGTTGAATAAGAAAATAAAAGAAGGGATTATTTTATGTAAATCGAATAATTCGTTTTAGGGAGTCACAATGCAAATACGTACATGCAATCACAAGATATACAACAACAGTGTTTGCAGACAGAAGAAGTTATGTACATAGCAAACTGGCAGTTACAAGAAGAATAATAAGACATTTTCACGTGTGAATGTTCATTAGACCATAACACCTTACAAGCAAACAAAAAAAGTTGGCCGTGCATCCTTGAGTATCAAGAATTTTGCAAGGCAATTTCGGGGAAAAAAATTCGGTGACGCCTTCATTCGTCAATAACATTGCTTTTAAATTGTTCTACTGGAATAATCAAAATACTTCCTTTGCAAAAGTTTAATGATTTTCGGAGAACTTTGGGAGCCAAAAAATTTTCTCATTGGGACAAAAAAGCTTCGATGTATCATACTTTAAGATCCGACTGTAAATGCCAAAGATATGACGGGAAATTACAAATGGCGACCGCTACGATCGGAAAAAAAGATAATCGAAAATGCGGGAACTTATACACCACAAACAGGGGAAGAGGATCGGCCAAACGCTTAATATAGTCAATCAATTTACCATTTTTGGTTGACAAAATGCAGTTTTAAAACTTTAATAATAAGCTGATGCATATATGAATATAGAATCTTATTATGACCACGTTGGAAAAAATTATAAAAACGCAAGTTCCTTTAGAAGCCGCTACAAATTTTTACAGAAAAGTCCTATGTCCACAACGATTGGCCCGCTTTAAATTTTCGGGTATAGTGCGGAGGAGTTTTTATGCCTTTCATGGCCATGAAATGTCGGATGTTTTTAAATAACAGAAAAAAGTGAAGGGCGCATAGTCGCTTACAAATTTTCCTTTTCATCATTTCAAACATCCTGGATAAAGTCTTTTAAACATATTTTATTACATCCCTGGTTTCTGCATACCTTGCGGGAAAACACCGAACTAGTGAACCAAATTTATAGTTCCTTCCTAGATCTTTGTGGCCAAAAACGAGCCAGTCCAATAGTATCTAATTAAATACCCATCAGTTCAAAAGCAGCGAAATGTGCTACTCTTAAAAAAAAAATGTTTAATTTTATTTGAATATTTTTATTGAGCTTTGTACCACAATTAATAGAGACAATAACAATATTGAAATACATACATATTAATACACCACAATAATATTGACAAATATTTCGTTTTACTTTTTAAAGCGGTTGCAGAAATGTGATGGCGTGCGGTGCAATAACATCCCATTGTACTCTTGAGGTGCCCTTCTACTCAAACAAAATTAAGAGTATAGACTATGTTGCCATTCTGCTGAGCATTTTCAAGCTATTTATTGAGCGCAATGAAAGAAATTGGATTTTTCAACAGGACAAAGCTGCAGGAGAAAAATGCTGGTTGGAAACCAACAATATTTTGACCCTTGCTTAGATTTTTTCATTTCCTCTAAATTAAGTTATGACTACAAAAAAACGTACCACTCCATTTGAAGAGAGCTTTTACTGAGCAATAGTTACAGAAGAAAGTTTTGCCTTATCTTGCTTATGACGGTTGTTTCAAAGACTTCACTGTACTGGATTTATAATTATGCAATGGACTGTATTAAAACAAATCGATTTTGGCTGCTTTTAGCAAAGACGAAAATTTTTTGACATTGACAATCTCTTCAAGTAGGTATTTATTTAATATTTAGGGGATTCACAAGACGTGTTAACCGTCGTAAAATCTTAAGGTTAACATCTTTTTTAATTATAATGGTTTTAGGGGATTTCTAACTAAACCGAAATTCTTTTAAACTGATAAAGAATATATAATTAGCCAACCCCCCAACCATTTTAACCGCTATTTTACATAAACAAGTGTTAAGCTTAAGATTTTACGACGGTTAACACGTCTTGTGAATCCCCTAATTGATTCTTGATTTTTATTTATCTTCACTGCTGGAAATATAAAAAGACTATGCATACTTAGGTTGATAATTTTCGTTTACTTTTTTCTACATATGTATAACTATCTACGTACGTACATATGTATGTATATCTTCGGCAGGGTTTCTATTTTAAACCTTTTCAATTCGTATCCTGTCAAACACTTCCAATGAACACTTTGCTCTCGCTGTTGTTTCCTAATACCCCGGCTGTCAAAAGATGTAGTTGTGTGACCTCTTTATCCCTGTGGTGTTTTAATTATCAACGGATAAACTCGCTAAACATTTACATACATAGGTATTTATATATATTCATAAGTTAATCTATACACTTTGAATGTGAGTATGGAACAAGTACACACAAGTAAGTGGCGCAGGATACAGAATATTTACATGTATGTATTGGCAGCACACTAACAAATATGTATTAAAATTTAGCTTCAAGAAATAATAAACAGGTAAGGCACTGCCCTGCAAAAATCGTTGGACTATGTGGTCTATTTGTGCCATATTGTGGAGTACTTACTAAGTTCTCCTCTGTAAGGCAGTAGCGGACCAACTCTCTACCCGACCAATGCTCGTGTTTTAACGATCGTAATCCATACACGATGTTTATTAGGCTGTGTTGCCGAGAGGTAGGTATTTCATGGAGTAATCCCTTGGGGTAGTTTTATGCTACTACGATGTAATGCAGAGCCAGGACATCGCAATGTTAATTGGACCAAATTTTTTATATATGCATTGCGGTTATTTTTGGAGTACTCCTTGACTCTTAGGGAGTACTCTTAACATGCGTGCAAGGAGAAGTCGCGATTTTTGCAGGGTGGCTACCCTCACCCAAATACATTTCCAACAGCAATGCTTACATGTTTGTACACGTATGAATGATAATATGTTTGCATGTATGTACGTGCAGATAGCAGGAGACGGTGATGGATAGAGAATATTTGAGGCGACAAAAAGGACTTTGAATGTCAACAACGAAATTAACGGCAAAGACATCGACAACAACAAGAACAAGAACAAGAACAAGTACGAATATAAAGGTATGTATATGTATAAATACAACAACAAGAGCAAGCAAACAACAACGACAAATAGAGTACCCAGAAAGGTAAGAATAACAATGACTACGAGTACAATAACTAACGACAAAGAAGAGCAAACAAATAAGAAAAAGTGCAGAAGAAGTATTTAGAAGAAGAAGTTAAACAAGCAGGCGAACGTTGAACCGTTTGAGTGTTTAAGTATTTAGGTGGGCGAGTGGGCGAGTGTGCGTGCATGTGTATGTGTAGGTGCTGTAAATGGGCCTTTGTCTATGCCAATCGACTGTCAATTGGCAAATAAACCCCACAAATCCTTATTTTCGCCCATCACCTAAACACAAGCACAACGACAACAACACCAACAACTGCATTTAAAAGTGCCCAATACTGAGCACTTAACACTCAACACTCAACACCAAATAACTTTCAACGTTCAACGTTCAATGTTCAACATCGAGCACTTACGTGTCGCTCTTCAGTCTCAACGATCAAGTGATTGTTTTTCAAAGTCATCTTCGTGACAGAACCATTAGGACGTGTAAAGTTCTCTTGGACGGAGTTGTTGGACAGATTGGCTTGAATTTTCAACTTATTGTTGTTGTCTAGATTTAGTGGCGATGCTATTGAGGTTAAGGAAGGGGTTGCAACCGAAGTCTCGGATGACAGCAACGCCCTCTCATCGACACTGAAAACTGTAGCAGCACCACTAACACCATTGCACAAAATGTTGTTTGTTGGATAGCTGGACGGTTTCGTGATATTGCACTCGCCGGAATGCGAGTTGGTCATTGCTTTGAGGCAGCTTCCGTTGGTGACATTCTCGGTGACGGACGGCAAATGTTGTTTTGGAATTGAAGTCGCTGTGTCGATGTTAGACTAGAACGTACAGAGAAAATAGATGAAGATGAATGGCATGGTTTTCGCCGTTAAACGGTAGAACTGCAAGAATGATGCACAAATGTTTAGAGTAATGTTATAATGTGAAAGTGATATATAATACGAAATTGGTTACTACGTTAATGCACGTTAGGCAAATTCACGTTCATTACAATCCATTTAATTAAGACTTCGCATTCGTAACACCAAATCTACACATTCTAGTTTCCACTGGTAAGACATATCTGTCTTACCGAATTTCTTACCACCAACTATCATTTCGTAGTTTGACAACTCAATTTTCATTTTACCGTGCCATTAACATTAGGAACAAATTGATTGGAATGTTACGACAGCAAGGTGCCAGCATGAGAAAATGGGGCAAAGTTACAACAGAAATTTGACAGATGTTAAGATATATTTAGATTAAAAATTCACTTTTAACGTTATAAAGTACAAACTGCCAGACTCACTGGCTGAAAGTGAGTCGCACATTAAAAATTTGGCAAAAATTAATAATTTTGCAAAATTTTCAATAATTTTCCAACAGGAACGAATCCGAAACGATTTGTTTCCATATGTATAAATAACTTGAAAATACACTCTTAAGAATGAGGAAAAGTGTTTCAGGGAATCGTATGCTTTCGTGGGAGATGAGTAAAGACGAGGGCTGAATTGCGCTAGGAACTGCCGCACATTTTGAATTCACAACTAGTACTGAAATTATTACCTATTCCTATCACTCACGATAAACTCACCGTCTAAAACATCAGAACCAGTCGGTAAGAAATCAGAATGGAGTTATACCAAAGTAAACTTTGTGCGACATTCAGCTACCGCAACCTCTTATGGTGAAGTCGCCGCCAAAAACGCGGGACAATTGCGTTGATCTATTTAGCGAAGGGGCAAAAAAGCCGAAATGCTTATCCTTCAATGCCGCACAATTTGGAAAATGAACTTTTTCGAGACAAAATTTAATATGTATCTCGAGAACGAGAACAGTTACCGAAATAGATGAAAATGGTGTTTAAAGTTTTTAAGAAGGAGATCTCGCTGGATAAAATAATTATGTTCAGCTATGAAATTACTTTTAAAATTAGAGGGATCAAAATTTTTTCCTTTTTAAAGAAAATTACTGTCAAAAAAATATAATTATTGAAAAGACAGTAATTTACAACAATTATACATACGTGAAATGAATGATGGGGTACGAAAATGTATCTGCAAGAGTGTCAAATAAATAATGATTTTTTTTCAAAATCCGTGATTCGGTGAAATTTTCGTGGTACAGTTTAGCTGACCGCACTCAACTTAGACTCGAGCATGCTCTGCGAAGAAAAGCAGCTCAACTTTTGCCAGTTCGTATAGTATAGGAAAGCGGCATCCTAGACAAAATGCAAAGGAAACAGACAGGCCAAAAGCTCTTTCAAAGAAATATTACCTTTGAAATCTCAAACAAACTTAAATTTCAGTGGGCATGACAACAAAAGGCATAGGATTTATTACAACACACTGCAGATCCACTCTTTTAGCTGTACTTCTGTACTAATTTTCAATGTTGTATGATTATTATGGAAAGACTCATAAAAATGCATACATATGTATAGAACTCATCCCTTAAATATTTTCTACGTGCGTGACAGTGTTCCTGGCCAATTTGTTGCAAAATATCTAGACCGCAGTGAAAAACTTATGAAAACCTGAAAACTGCAGCGTAAACAGAATGTTTGCGGTGAAGTAAAGGCAAGTATGGCAACTAACTGTTGTCCCCTCCAAAAGTAGGAGTAACCATCAAATTTGCTAGAAATTAAAATGTGGTCGTAGCAAAATCAAAGACTAAGAGCGTAAACAAACGGAGTGAGTTAAAGCCGCTACAATAATAACAACAGCCAAAAATTAGTGAGGTGAGTGGTGGTGGGCTGCTGAACGTCCGAGGGAGCTTTCAAACAGCAAATGTCAAGTAAAACCGCCAGATGCTTACAATGAAATGGTGTCTGGTTGCGGCAGCCAGCGCCGATCTGCCAACAGCGGCTCTCACGAACTTGCAATCAGACCGAAACGGAGATTTAATTTGCGAGTTGTATGAGACATGTTGCAAACACTTCCTGTGTGTGTGTGTGTGTGTGTGTGTGAATGTGTCCGTTGCTTACCCTGACTGGAAGTACTAGCTTTGCTTGTGCACGTCTGCACCACACTTTGGTGGCATTTTCTATCTCCGTTTTAATTAAAGTTTCAGCCTCCAACCAGCTGTCAGATTATGGCGGAACAAGAAGAATCAAATAAGCATGCTGGAGTCGAAGGGAGTGCCAACATGGCGTGGAAAACACAAAAACCAAAACACCCCGACTTTTGACTTTTGAATTATATATACACAGGTATAATGGTAGACATACTAACATACATATATACATATAAGTATTAGTGAGCGAAGTTGATGAAAATTTAAATTTTCATCGCACTTTGCAGTCTTATTTGTGAATTTTATTTTATTTTATTTTGCACAACTTAGGCTAGGAATGAATTTAAGGTGAGCCACAACCACCTACTAATATTTTTGTAATAATGTATGTAACAACTGTAAGCCCCTATTGATTTAAGTGTACTTTATATCTTGTAATGTTTAATTAAGACTTTTAGCCGACGAGTATTCACTACATACCTCTTCCTGGGAATTTTCGCCATCTCCATTTTTCTTGTCATTTGTAACGCTCCCATTGGCCTGATTTGCATCGCGAATATTTGGTGAGCCATAGAACTTTCCATAGAGGTACCTGTGCAAAGAATATGTAATTTAGTTTAAATTAAAATATTAAGTGAAACATCTATGCTGTAAATACAATTAAATAAGTGGCTCAATTAGTCAAAAGTCGAAGACAATGCAATCAAAATGCGATTAATTAGTAAATCCGCGCACACTTGTGCACAGAGGTATTAAAAAAAACTCTCCAAACGGCCTTCTGAAGTACGTCCTACCTCCGATTTGTGACGAAGTAGTGAAGGTAAAATGTTATGCACAGAAACCAACAACCGTGTATCGCTTAAGTGCACTGAGAGCTGTTTGCGGATTCCGCACAATTTCTGACGAAGCATCCTTTGTAATCGCTGGTCCCAGTAGACATTATCGCACAAGAGATGAAAAGAATATATAATCACCTGTCTGAGGACAGCAATGGTCTAACGCGAAAGACAATAGCCAGAGAAGAAAGGTGTCGTTCTATGGTAATCTGGCAGAAACGATGGGACGACTCTGAAAAGGGAGGTGGACCCACAAGCTCATCTCTGACATTGAAACACGGCTGAATAAGTCTCACTGAGAGTGTAGTTTTCATCTAAGCCAGTTTCTCTCGAGCAACGGTTCTTATCGTGAGTATCTGAATAAATTTCGGCATAGGAATAAGAGAAAATAACGGAACACATAATGTTCTCCTGCTCCCGATACGCCTCTGAGTCACGAAGCATGGTACAGGATATCGGCATACCAGACTATATGTTAGCGTCAAGCGAGAAGTGGTGGAAGATCTGCGCTCATGTCACAATAATTCATGTAGATTTAAGACGAGCTGAGCATCTAAGCAGCCGTTAAAATATGTACGTAAGGAGCCTTTTGGGCCAACCAACCCTGGCCCAATTTCTTACATACTCATACTTTGGCAAAATGTTGAGTGCGATTTTTAATATATCTATTTGCAATTTTGAAATGTCCCTGCCAAACAGTAGTGCCTACAGCAATAATCATGGCATTTTACTGTTAAAATCCCAGAAGCTTTACAATTTTACAACACAAATTTAAGAATTCCAAAAACACCGCAGTCAAGTGTCACATTTCTTGAGATAATTTATTCATTCGGTGCTATAATCTGCTGCACTTGCGTTTCGTATGGCGCACAACAAATGTGAATGCCAAAAGTTGGCTTGACATCAAAAGTTTGCCCATTTACTGATTCAATTTACAACCTCAAATAGCTGGCAGCGAACCATTGCTTGAAATCCAATTTGGCGGCATTTTCGTTTACTGTTACTTTATTGCTTTTCGTTTCATATTTAGTATGCCTCACGCTACTGCTAAGCGCGATTTTATAATCTTCTTAAAACTTTGCCGCTTATGTAGCCTTTTTCTCTCAAACTTTCACAGCCAGTACTACCGTCATTAGAATTTGATTTGGGTGTCGTAACTGGAACCACTGGCATTTTTTTCACTTCAAACTGTGCTCGTAAGTGACTTTTTGGGCTAACTGTAATACATGTGTTACACTTACATACATACATATGTGCTTAGTACTCAGAGCCTTGGAATGTCGAAGACGCATTCTTGACGTGAATTCAACCAATTGTTTATTGAAAAAAAAAAAATTACTTTGTTCTTAGAGTTTCTTAATTCTTTCCATGTGTCAAGTTAAAGTAGCTCAAATAGCGTGGCTTAATACGAGTAGCTTAAGGCGGAAAATAACAGTTATATACATATTTAAAGAGTTTTTGGTAGCAGTGCCCTAGTTTTAGGTCCTGTACTAGTCTCATTTCGTACCGCACAGATATATACATGGAAACTCTTCGATAGGGTAGCGATATGCAACCTAAAGGGGAAGCTATGTGGCATTACGCCTTTCCATCTCATAATACAAATTTTCCTCTTTTCACCCAGTGGTTTAGAACTATACCACCAGGGTCACATTGTGGACTCGAAGAAGCCCTACAACGTCTCAAAAAATGTGGCTTCAAAAACGAACGAGCTGCATACATACATGCTTTCGCGGAGAAGGAGAATTGGCATTGCTTGATAGGTAGGAATACAGAAAGACCATCCCTCAAATTTCCAATCTATGTCCTCTATAAATGCCCTAATCCTTGCAATAGTATAACACGATATCGCGAGGCGGTACTCAAGAGACGCTAAGTCAGCTAATGTGAAAGACCTAATGAAATTCATTATGAACCTGGACTGTGGTATCACAACGACAGAATTAAGATAACTAATTGCCTGTATGAGGTGCAGGTGGTATTGAAATAATATATACGATTTTGTAACTACTGTTAATCTCATTCGTTGTATATTTGTAACTTCAAAATAACGAAGAAAAAACGAATTTGGCTCAATGATATATATTTTAGACCATACCATTTTGCAACAAACAAAAAAAGTTTCGCTTTCAAACCCCTGATTCTAAAATATTTTTGCAATGCAATTTCGAAAAAAAATTTGTATTTTTTTTTTGCTGAACCTTGGGCCGCCTTTTACATTTTTCGGTGACAAACAATTGTTTTCAAATAGTTAAACTGGAATAATCGAGATACTTCTTTAGCAAAAGTTCAATGATTTTTGGTGAGCTTTACGGGGTATCTATGGTAATTGTCTTTCAGCTCATCACAGTCTTTCGAAAGTCAAAAGTATTTCGTATGGCAATCGCCAATTCTGGCAACTCTCTTGAAAGCTCTTTTCGGTCCCTCGAAAGACTTATTAAAAGATCCGCTACATAACGAGAAGGTCTAGCGTTTTTCTGTTTGTATTTTAGCAGTGAGTTTTCCAAAAATTAAATTTAACTAAAAGTATATATTTTTCCTTTTAAAACAATAAAAACAAAAAATTAAAAAAAAAATAAATTAATCAAAAAAAGAAAAAATAATAGTTAAAAAAGCGTGAAAAATGTATAAATCAAATATTTAAGTTATAAAAAAAAAATATTGAAAATGTAAAGATTAAGATGAGTTCCTAAAAATTAAATGACATAAAAAAATTTTTCATTTTAAAATTAATATATTGTTATTTAAAAAATTAAAACAAAATTAGAAAATATAGATGTCTAAAAATTAAATTAAAATTAGAAAAAATTTAATTAAAAAATATGTAAATAAAAAAACTTTGTAAAAATCTAAAAAAGAAAAATTAATAAACCATTTTCTAAAAATTAAATGAAAATAATGAAGTAAATATTGCTCTGTTTAAACAATAAAATCGAATAGTTAAAAGAAAATCTAATTAAAAATGAAAAACAAAACAATTAAAAAGGGAAAAATTCATAAAACAAGTTTCTACAAAATAAATAAAATAAATATGAAAAACAAAATTTCTCTTTAAATCGATAAAATCTTACAATTAAAAGAAAGTTAAATTAAAGCAATTAATTTTTAAGCAAAAAACAAAACCGACATCAAATCTCATATAACAATTTAGGAGTTCCGTTAATTTTTTTATGATCCAATGATCGGATCAAGGGACCACCTCCGAGACACTACAAAACAAAAAAATATTCCGACGAATTGATAACCTCCTCCTTTATTGAAATCGGTTAAAAAGAACAAAAGATTTAATCAAAAAATTAATTTCGCTGCCCGAGGATTCGATGTCGGATCTCTCGAATGTTAGGCCAGTGTTTTGCAAACCCTTCCATTGCGATTGTTGCAGCAGAGCTAAGAAAATTATATAGTATACATCTCCTTTTTAAACATGCTCAAGTGCTTTATATAGAGAGCTTTTCAGGATAAAAGTTGGCAAGGGAGCTTTTTTTAAGACTTTCGTGCTAGAATAAACAAAATTTTTTAAGCTATCGCGCTCACTCTCTTTCAATTATTTTACAAACGATACGAATTCATATATGGCGGGTAAATGCTAGTACAGGCTACTTGAGGTCAATGAAATTTAGAATAAAAAAATGTTTTCCTCGATACACTCCTCACACTTTAAGATTCCACTGGAATATGACGAAAAATGTAAAAAGGCGACCCTTACATTCTGCAAAACTTTTTATTCATTTTTTTCTTTTCAAATTAATATGTACATTAGACAAAGTCAAAAAAAACGTCCTGCAATGCGACCGAAACCCGACGTGGTCGAATGCCCATATATGTATATTTTCACAGCTTCGCAACGGCGCTAAGACGCTGGATTAAATTCACTCACACATGAATACTGACAATAAGCAAATAGTATAAGGAACTGCAAAATACTTGTACTGGTGTATTACAGAAATATCAGTCACTCAAGTGGCATCGCATTTGTTTCACGCTAACGCTTTCGCTTTTCAACGCCTCGCCTTCTTCTGCTTGTCCTGAGTTAAAGTGAATCTGTAGAACCACATAAGTTTCGCCCCCGCTTACCACATTGTTTTGTTTGCGCACACCTTTCCTCTACCTTTTTTGTTATCCAACCACCAGCTGTTGTGGCTAATACGGCGTAGCATTGTGGGTTTATTTTCCCCATTTCTGCCATTCCCAACTTCGTTGAGCAGCGCATTAGTTTACAACACTATCTGTTGTCTTCGTCGAAAAAGATGTCTTAACCTGCATTTATTTGTGGTCGTTATACAATTCCCACACCTGTCCGAAGTGCTAAGGCAACGGAAGGAAAGGACGTGCTCCCGCAGATGCTCGCAATTTCGACTTTGCGTAGTAAATGAAAAATAAGAGGGAAATTTATTGCATAGCCATTCAGTATGCTTTGTTAGGATAAAAGAGCGGATTTGTCAAATACGATACGAACTGGGCAGCATTGCTAGAAATATGAGTATGTACTCGTAGGTAGAAATTGCAGAAACGAATGACGCTTTAAAAGACGAACTTTAGTTTTGAGGACTTATTTAAGTGCATATGCTTGGACCTGTCCTTAGAAGGAGACGACATAAACAAACAGTTTTTAGTGACAAGGCTCAACTCAATTCTAAACAAAAAAATAAATTGCGTTATTGTAGTCCTTCCCAGTTTTTTTCGAAATTATGTCCTCTCAGAACTTCTGTTTCAGGATTTCTAATTAATACCGACAGCTCGAAGATGGATAAAGCTGATGAAGGTGCTTTAGATACAGCAACTGTTTATTTTAAGCAGCGATTCGATTTTTTTAGACGTGATTGTTTTAGGCGCGACTCGATAAGTAAGACAGCCAAGCTTCTCTAAGAGCATTAGGATTCAAAATAATAAAGTAGAAAATTATTTGGGAAAGCCGCATAATAGATTTTCTGGGTCTTGTCACTCTTATTTTATTTCCCAGGCAGTAGCCGTTGAGATAACCAACACGGCTTGGACATTCGATCTAGAAAAATTGACGAGTATGCCATACATACGGACCAAACGGGACAACTATGAATACTTAGGGAATTAATGCACTTCGTGAGTTTCTAGCGATGGACTATTCCAACAAGTATTCTCGGCTGAAATGATTGGGGTAAAAAGATGGTGACATTTTTTTGTAACATTTCAAATTGTTTTCCTTTTTGGGGGAACTCTATAATTGTTTTCGCAACTAGTTATTTTTATGTAACATTTATTCACTGAAAAAAAGTAATATTTTCCTTCAAAATTGCTACATTTACTACATTTTGCACTAAAACAAAACTAATTATAGTCAAATAAAAATTGAAAAATCGGGCTCAACTGGCCTGTTGCAAATTTCGAAAGCTTTCGTAAAAAAATGTATCAAATTGATTAAAAAATGATGGCTCCGGTGAATTATGAACAGTAAATGACAGTTTTGAACCACTGTGCAATGGGCGATCTAGTGGGATCTTCCTCCTTTTGCCACTAACAGAGGAAATTCACTACGGTTAAGTCTTTACACACGTCTACTAAACTTAGCCTGAGCTGAAGTCTCACGGCCTGTTTTGCTAACCCAAAGAAAAGAAGAAGTTCATAGCAGTGAAATCTGCTTTCAAAGGCCACTTATCGAACTCCTGAAGATTTTAATTTAACTAACGATAAGAGGAGTGGGAAAACAAGTTCTATTGGAGCAGTGTAAACAGCTCAAGTCACTCTTCATGCGGCTGACCCAGCCCATTTTTGTTTGACTCTACTCATTTTAAGTTGCCTTAGAAACGGCAAAGAGGAGCACACGTACCTGCGAAAAGGTGCGAGTAATTGCTACTCCAGCCAGTCAAAGTAATAGTTTAAGTGTAATTTGCTTCAGCCTGATTGAATATCAAAAACATTGCTCAGCACTTATCGGCGATTTGTTGCAGACAACTTGACTGCTGTTGGCACCGTTGCCATGCGACTGTCGGCGCAGAAGCATTGTGACAAGCAACCAGGCGTATCATCCACATACATATACTTGTACATACTTATATACTTATATGTACATACGTGTAACAATGCTTAGCCAAAGGCTCAGCTGCAAATTGGTTACGGTCCCACGAAGCGTAAAGGAAAAGGTGCACAGCGCTGGCGCAAAATACCCAGACCGGAAAGTGAAAGCAATCAATCTTGGAATGTGGAAAAAGGGTTTGAAGCTTGGGGCCATTTTTACCATTGACAGCGGCGACATACTTGCAAATGCTTTAAGGCTTTAAAGGATTAAAAAATGGTTTAATGTATACATGTATTTTGATGAGCAAATCTCACGAGTTGTTACATTTTTCGACAAATACGTGTTTTTGGTAGAAAATGGAGGCATACTTATCTTAGAAAATGCATTATCTTCAGTTTTTTTTTTATAAAGAACAAGACTCCGACGCGAAATTGTGTATAATTTAACACGTTTAATGTAGTTGTTGTAGCGGCTACAACAAACCCGCCCAGATCGGCAAGACCCTGAATCGTTGTCGTCAAGCTCAACTAACGGGAGACCCAAGAAGCGTGCAGCCTCTATAGGGTCCGTCTATGGGGACAGAGGCGTCAGTTGAGTGGGGTTTAGTGCGCATGCGAAGAGATGTTTCGAGTTCAACCTGCTGCAGTGGCCAGAGCGAAGTTGGGCTAATGTGGTCAGAGTCTCCCTAGGCAAACGACGCTCGGACTTGCCCAAGTCAGTTCTGGAGTCTAAGTAACTTAAGGCCTGCCGATATGCTGTCGGGTCCAGAGCTTTCTTTATGAACCTATCCGTGCCTTCTGATATGCCTTGGCGAGGGATCCTCTGCAAGCAAGTGTCTGTTCGGCTGTCCACGTCTGTGGCTCCCTACTAAGAATTGGTTGCAGAGCATTGTGTTGTGCCGCTTAAAGGGGAACATTTGCGCTTCGTCATGCAAGTGGTGTTGTGACGATATCAGAAGACATCTGGTCACTTTCCATCGGACTTGGTTCGTCATCAACGTGAATACCCAGCTGCAATCTAACCTCCTTCGTCCAGGTGGTGAAGAGGGCAGCTGAGGATATTGTAGGGGGGAGAGTTAGGCTCCTTGCAGTGAAGAAGTAGTGAAGAAGTGAGAATGCTCGGAGGGGTAACCGTTTACTTTCGAGCACAAGTCATCAGTTCCATTCCCAGCATAAAAGACAATTGGTACTCCGTCTGGTGGTTGAGGGAGCTTAGAAATATTAAAGTAGTTGAGAAAGAACACCACCCTTTGGAACCCCCCGTTTTATTTTCCTGGGTTTAATCAATTTGTCTCTAAATATTAATGACGAGTGTCGACCACTCAGATTATTCGCTGACCACCGTTTGAGTCTTTGTGGGAGAGAGAACCTCTATGTCTTCTAGTGGCGCGGAGCGACTGACGGTTTCAAACACTTTTGACATAAATATCTAACGCTACTAGAAATGTTCTCTCGCAGGGGTAGTGCTCTTTACGTAAACCATACTGATGCTTCGCAGGGATGAGGTGGTTCATATAATGGGGGAGTAGCGAGGCCTCTAGTGTGTTCGCTACCGGGAGAATGAGGGTTATCGGACCATAAGACTCTGCTTTGTTGGCTGGTTTTCCCAGTTTGAGCAGTAGGACCACTCTGACGAGAGTGGCCATTGACAGGTTGAGGACCTTGGTTAAATAAACAACTCCTGTAGGACCCAAAATTTTCAGTATCAGCATGCATATTCCGCCGGGTCGCATGGCTTTGTAGGCTTTCACCTTCCCTATGACTACCCGAACTTCACGAGGCAAAATTGTGCAGTAAATTAATTTAATTTGACTCTTGTGTTTATCGGATTTTTTTTTTAAATCTGCATAGAAATTGTCCACATTTCATTCCGCATACGCTATATTGCCATTTTACATTCTAAAAATCCTTCTGTCCTACACATTTGTATACATATACATACACATGCATGTTTACTCTGGAATCCCACCAAATTAGTCTGTCTCTTAGAACATTTGACTTAGAAAAAATGCAACCACTTTGTATAACTCGCTGTACTTCATCTCAAATATACTGAAATAATGAATAGAATATAACAAAAGGCTTTTCGCTCTATGCTTACCACATGGCACAAGTCAGTGAGACAGTCAGTACAACCGGCAGCAGTACAATGAAAACTCCAAGTACCAGCGTATTATGATTTTTAAATACTGCAAAGAGAGATTCATTTTTAAAGTCAGCTAAGAGGGGTCTTCAAAGAAATGTATGTTCTTATTTGTTTACATAAATATAAGTACTATATGTACATAGGTATTCATGCTTGTTTTCAACTTACCCAACTCGATTGCATTCGGTTCCTCCAACACCGAGTAGGCGGTGGCATTGCTCATACGCTCAGTGGATGCTCCAGCGTAACTGGCATTCGCAAGCATCGACAAAGGGTACGTATCGTTGCCGCTGCGAGCTAGTAACTCCTTTAGTTCACCGTTCTCCATGGCATTTAGCATCGCTGCGGCTGTTTGGCCTGCCGCCAGCATCTCACCGGAGCCCGCCACATCAGCGCTCAGCTCATCCTTTCGCAGATTACTTACGCCATGGTTCACCGTGAAGTGCGCATAGTCGGCTGCATGGTGGGCTTTGTTGTTGTGCAGTGCTGCTGGATTGCCGAACGGATAAGAACCCTCGACTCCATCAAATCCTCCACCGCCGACGCTCTCGTCTATCAGATCGCCACCATACTGTACGGAAGACTCCACGAGTCTGTCGACGTCATTGCCATTTCCATTGCCATTTTCCTCCAGCATGTTGTTCTCGTACATGCCTGAGTGCGGCTGGTTTGCTTCGTCGGGCATGAAATCGATTTCCTTGAGTTCAATTTGCGGCGGCAGCTCACCTATCACTGGCACACCAATCGACATTTCTGGCAATATGGCTGGCTGTATGATGACGTCTGGCGTCAGTGAGGGCGCTGCAGCCGCTGAAAATGTGGTTGTGGGACCAGCACCTGAGGACTGCTCCACTTCCACCACCGACTCGGCAATGTAGGTAACGTCTAAAGGGGGTGCCTCATCGCCTTGATTGCGAAATATCTTAAGTGAATCGGCGGTGTTGCGTAGTGGCGAAAGAATTATGTCTTCTTCATAGTGATGCTGTTGCGGTGACAGCGACAACCGTTCGTCCATGCTGGCAGCGTTCGGACGTGTGCTGGCTAAGTAGTTTGCCGGAAAGAATTGATTTTCCAATCTGGTTTTCCGCAACTGTTGCTGCTGTTGTTGTTGCTCATAATCTGTATTTGCGGTGGGTAGAGACTCGCCCACCTTTACTTCGGTGTTGGAAATGTAAAAAATTGTGTCCGAGTCGCGATCTATGGTCGGCTTACGCGGCGGAGGAGGTGGGGGCAAAGGTGGTTTTGGCAGCGCATTCTCTCGCTTTAGGTCTGCCAAGAAGAGTTCGTCGGACATTTGTGGCGGTTTCACTTTGACCTCAGGTGGAAAGTATTTGATATCCTTCAGCTCAATATCCGAATCGGAATCTGAGCGAAATGTAAATATCGGATTGGCATTTTCAGCACTAACCGCACCCTCAGTGCTATTGTCGCCGGTATCGATTATCTCTACAACTAAAATCTCATCGCCACGTTGAACGTTTTCTCGAGCAGCGGAATCATTGCTGCCCGAAGAAAGTGGCTTCATCGAAATAGCTTTAGCGGTTTTGGCCATCAGTTCATCTATGGGGTTGGTTCTTGAGCTGCTGCCTGTGTAATCTGGCTGCCGATATGAAAATTCTAAATCTTCGCTCTCATTGCCGATGCCCTCAGATACGTTAATATGTATCTCGATTGCTGCTGGTTCGGGCTTACCGAAGGCCACACTTAAATGTGGGGCCACACTTGACTCCTGTGTGGCATAGTCGGCCCTGTCCACTACATATTGGGTGAAGCGTTCCTGCGGCGCAGCTGGTGGCTTAGTTGTGCCGCCGTGTGCATCCGCCTCAGCTTCCAGTGGTAGGGCGTAAAAGCCATCGCTATCCTTGAAATTTGTGGATGATACAATGGAGTCCACTGTGGAATCGTAGACTTCCACTTGAATGTCAGATATTTTTGACTCCGTTCGCTCATCGCCCAACCTCTTGGGAGTGCTGGAAAATGCTCGCGACTGTTGCTGCTTCTGCTTATGTTGCGATAGTTTTGATGTTTTTTCCTCACCTCCGTGCGTGGTTTTCGTGCTCAACGGCAGACGTGTGGTGCTGATCAATGTCTCTGGAACCTGGAACACAGTCGTAGAAAACATGGGTGTACTCTTTTCCGAAGGTACGTGTACAAAAGTGGTTGAAACAGGCGCTGGCGTTGAAGTTGTTGCGCTTATTGGATCGCTTTTCACCGCTCTATTCAATGTCATCGCCGGCGCAGCAGTGGTTTGCTCCACCAGTGCGGTGGGCGCAAGGATCTCCACAATGCGGCCGTCACGCAGTTGTGATTCTATGGTGGACTCGTGGTGTTGTTGTGGTTTCAGGTTTGCGTGCTTAACCGTAAACCGCATCTCCTCCATGAGAATGGGACCCAAATAGCCATTGTGTACTGGTCTTAGCGTGGGTGTGGCTGCCGTAGAGTTTTCTATATTTGCTCTTTGGTGTGGTGCGGATGCAGACGTTGGTGCTGGTGTGCTGCTAGTGGAAATATTTTTCACGCCAATGTTCGGCATTGTTTTCGTCAACACATCACTTCCGCCGTTATTGCCATTTTCGGTGGCTTTGTTTGCGCTCTTTAAATCATCCACAGTGTCAACAAGCGATGTTTTTATTGTCCCGGGGGCGGTCATATTTTCAACATGAAATTCCTCGCTCACACTGAGATCAGGCACGAGCAAGTAATGTTTATCGGTTAGTTGCTTCTTTCTTGTTTTCTTGACACCATCATGGCCATCATCATCGTCCGCGGCGTCAACATCGCCACTCTTGCTGCCGTTGCGTAATTTTTTCGCCTTCGAAATCGATTTTAAATCATGTTTTTCCAAGTCAATAAGTTTTATGATGCCATCACTATCGCTCGTACCTGAATTGTTTGCGTCTGTGCCTCTGCTGGTATCCTTTACGTCGCCGTGTCTGCCAATATTGGCTTCATCGTTTTGTAGCTCTCCCTCCGACTCGTTTCGCTTGGCTTCGCGGTTATCAGACACATCGTCAATAAAAATGATGCCGCTGTCCGTGCTTACCTCCGCTGTTGTTTGGATTGTCTGCACACTTTTTGTTGTACCAACAGATGGGTGTTCAGGTTTTTTAGTCGTAGTTGAAATTGAAGTAGTTGCCTCTTGCAGCATGTCCACACTGGTTGTCGCCGTGCTGACGTTCATCTTGGGTAGCCTTATTGCAGCGGTTGTGTTGCGCGCTGGTGGAATGGGCGTTTGAGGCAGATTATCGCCAACGATGACGGAGCTCATTTCCATTATTGCGCTGACGGTGACAGAATTACCGTTGTATGATGTTGGTACTGTCGAAGTACTTTGACTGACACCAGCAACTTCATCAGCTATCGGAAATTCGATGGTTGTTGTTGGCATTGTTTTTGCTGTTTGATGCTTGGTGTTGTTGGTAGGAAGTGCGCTTGTAGCTGTTGCGGCTGCTGTAGTTATTTGTTCTGTTGCTTTTATCGTTGCCGTTATCGCCTTTGGCAACGTTTCAATTTGGATTGCAATCATCGGCGCATTTGCTGTAGTCGCCGAGATTGGCTTTGTCGTAACTGCCAATGCTGATGTAGTTGCTGCTGTTGTATTTGGTGCTGCTGTTCTTGGTGCCGGTATGGATATTTCTTTAGTAGTTGACGCTGCTGTGGTGTCATGTAACTCCATAAATGCGGTCGTTGCAGTCAGTTCTTCTGCGGCTCTCTTGTCGTCTACTTCCGTGCCACTACCCCGGAAGCTTTTTAGCTCCGCAGCCGCACCTGACTTCTCAATGGGGCTTCCCGCTGTAATCCTGCTGACTGCAGCATTCGTAGGTGCCAAGGTGACTGCTGTTGCCGCCTCCGTGGATCGTGGCAAGTTGCCAGTTGCCGCAGACACAATGGCGCCCGGCGTGCTTACCTCGTCGTCGTTGTCGTTGTCGTCGCCGTTGAGTGCGTTGCGATGGCTGCCAACTAGCGATGGCGCGTTGGTGACGATAACGCTTTCTGAGGGCAATGCGCCCTCGCTTGACTTTGCGATATTTGCTGTGACTGTAGTCGCGACTTCTGTACTTTGCTCAAAGTGCTGTTCACTCTCAACTGTAGTCGGGTTTGTAGTGTGTGTGGTAAGTATAGGTATATCGGTGCTTGTGGTTATAGTTTCGACCAATCGACTAGGCAAAACTGTTGTGGAGCCTGCAATAGGCGCTTCCGTTGAACTCATGGATGCGACCTGTGTCTTCAATACCCTCACCTTACCTTTCTCCCTCTCCTTGGCCGCGTGTTGCCATTTTTTTCCATAATGTAATTTATATGATTTGCCTTTCAGTTTCGGCACATTTCCTTTGCTGCCGAGCTCATCAATGTTACGGCGCTCTGTGATTGCGCTTGCAGCCGCCTCAACCTTGGCAGTCGTGGCTTTTGCAGCCGCCGTGGTGCTCGTGCTGGCGTGCAGTGTTCTTGGCGTGATGCCAATTTCCGCCGACGTTACTATCAGCGTGGGTGTATTGCCCTCAACGCTGACCGTCAAATGGTGAGTGGGCGCTGTGTCGCCATGCCTTGCCTGCAACAGCAACGTTGCACACAGCCATATACCGGCTAATATACTACTGTTTACCAATAACCACCTTGCCATTTTGCTTTGAAAAACCACTTAAACTTGCTTTTTGTTGCCCAGCTGCTCTCGCCTTAATTTATTCTTTTGCAGTTCCACCCTACTCGTTTCGCCTACAGTTTATGAACTCACACAACTTGCTTGAAGTGCCGCGTACATTGTTGCCCCCATTTCTGTTAGAAGGAAATTACAAAAAAAAACCACACAAAGTGCGCGCCACATTAGTGTTGCAAGGTCGTTGGCGCGGTGCGCGTACGTTGCGCAACTCCTCCACCCCAATGATGGCTGTGCCAGTTGAGATAAAGTTTTCAACGCTGTAATGCGCGCGACAATGGCACCACCACTAACAACAAGCGCAACAACTGCAGTGCAGGGCGTTACTTTTTTTTCTATTACCCTCTATTTTGTTAATGTTTTTTGAGTCAGGCGAACGAAAATGAAAAAAAAAAAAAAAAAAAAAACGACTGATGCACTGAGTATTCTAGAAAAGTTTCCAAGTTCGTTATACACTCGTTTCGTTTTCGGCAATGGTGTTGTGGCGTATGCGGCGAATGCGTGCGTCCGTCCTTTTGTACGTGCTGCGCAAACTTTCTCGCCAGTTTATAAAACACGGCGCTGCGTTTGTCGATAAAGTCGCCGTTCTCTATGCAACGGTCTTAAGTATTGGACTCCGGTGAGAAGATGCTATGGCGTATTGCGAGTGCTGCTTGGTGGTACACGCGTCTGTGAACAAGAAAGGAATAGAATTGTTGAATAGTTAGTGTGAGAGGTAAAAAACGAAATTAGCAACAGAAAATTCAATTTGAATATAAATATGTATTTAAAAAAAATAGGTGAACAGTTCAACTGGGAACATTTATTTAGTTGGGTAAAATTGCATTGAAAGACGTTGTATAAGTAAAAGCACACCAATGTGTGTATATATGTATGCATATTCACATAACTACGATACCACCATTTTAAAAATCGCAATATCTATACTCGTATCAAAGGGACACACCTGTACTTCAACGCCAATTCTGAATATAGTTTTATGAAAAGTTTTTTTTTTTTAAACAGAAACTCGTCAGCCTAACGGTATCCATTAATAGAAAAAAGCCTTTTTATCGAATAATATATAAGCAACACCTTTTTTTTTCAATTTTTAATTCGACGATACAAATGCAAATGTATCGCCGCAGACCTCCCTTCAGAAGTGCATATACAAACAGTGTCATCATTCCATTATGTGTAGTGTATGTATAATGAAAATATTCATTTTTCACTTGATTTAAATACGAAAATTTTTAAACGGTAATCAAATAAAAAATTCTTATTTTTATAATTACAATTATAGGGTTAGGGTAGGTCTATTGTGCCCCCAATTATAGGGTTACCCCAAAACGAAAAAAATGTACAAAAAATTTCAAACGTTATAAATAAATTTTCACCAAAATTCAAAATTTTTTATATTTGCAATAATTTTAGCTATGGAGTTTTTTAGCGTATTACGTCTTAGTGCAAGTTACAAGAAGCTAAGAAATCTCATCGATTTTAAATAGTTTTTTTTTTTTTGTTGACATTTCGAGCACATTGTATATATGTATGTGGAAGGAAATGTTTACCACCGCTTATCAAATCGGTTAAGAATTCGAAGCTCTACGCTATTTTGTACCCCACTTTTTCATTACAGACCACTGTGAGCCGGCCAATTGCTACTAAAACAGCCCATCGTATTTTGCAAAAGAGAAAAGACGCATTTGAAAAGGATGTTTAAGGTAGTGCGTAATCAACGCTCTTAATTTTACGATGAATCATTCAGCGTCTACTAACGGAAAATTACATAAATGCTCCTGAAAACGCCACGACAAAGGAATCTGGTGGAACTAAAAATGTGCACACTATCGTAATCCACATTTTTTTGGTATTTTTCCTCAGGTTTAATTTAGTGGCGCCAAAGAAAAGACTTGTTTGCTCAGTGCATTCATCAACGCACAACCACTCGATGTTCTGAGCTCTAGATTTTGCCTCGATACATAAATTACTTGCAAAAATCGATGTCGATTTCGCAGCCCCAATTCGCTATTCCGTATACGGAACTATAGTATGCGCAGTTAGGCATAGTAAGTAGTTGCTGTTAACCTGAAAACTCTTCAAACCGTGGAACATCCATCGGAACAGCCAGCAACCAGTTCATTAGGATATCTTACGTGAGCATTTTAAAATATTTTTTATGATTGTTCCGGACAAAGTAATAAACATTTTTTTAATAATAAATTTGCCCACTTATAGCAGAGAATAATTTTATGTTTCTTATTTTTACAAGCTACAAAGCAGGATTCTCCATATTGATGTGGAGATAGATGGTATTGATGGATGGGTTGACTAGTCATATAAGAGTACATACTATGTATTTTCACCTTTGCGCCGATATAACAGAATATTATCTCCCATGCCATAAGACTGGTTTTAACTATGTCATATTTTGACACCAAAATTTGCCGACATATTTTGACACAACTTTATCTCCTTTATCCATACCTTTGCCATAATATCATTATGGGCCAAAAACTGACAGTTAGCCGATTTCGAAGCGTGTGTACACGACTAAAGACCTATCCTGATCCAAATCAATCGACCGCTTTTTGATCTCATTTGACAATGTGTTTTCTTTTTGACGACAAATGCCACTGAATTTCACATAGTAAAAACCAGCCTTTAGATTCAACTCTTCATGCGCAATGCCAAAATATAATAAGTAGCTATTCACACCTTCTTTTTTATTAGGCTACCTGGTTAAAATTATTATTCTGCACTTTATTTGATTGGTGCAAACTGAATGAAAAATATAAGCACATATCCATATTACCCCAAAAATCAGGTTCATATAAATATTTCTGCTTCAGTTCTAATTTTTCTGAGCAGCTCTGATTTTTAAGAACTGTCATTATCTCTCTAACGGTGGTCGCCAGAAGACAAACCCTTTTATATTAATTGGAGCAACCGAACCCGGGTTCAATTGGGTGGTAGTCTCTCATCTTACCATTCGACTACAGCGGCTTTCGCAGCGATACATATGGTTTTTATAAGCTTTTTCTGTTTATTTCGAGTTGGCTTTTAGATTTCGCAAAAAAAAAAATTGATATTTTTTATTTAACAAAAATGTGTTCTATAAGTAAATATAAGTTTGAGTTCGAGGTCGGTTTGATAAGTCAGTGGATTTTTATATACCCTATGTACCAACTTCCAATGCAACACTGCTCTTGTCGACACACATCTGTTAATAGGCAAGTTTAGTAAAAATAATTTTCATCAATTGCTGCCTTGAGGTTCTTCTCGAAAATGCCTCCGTGGTTTGGCAGTTGACGAATTTTTTGCTAATATATAGATTTAACCACCAAAATATGTGACAGATGAAGAAAAACATTTTTTTTTTTTAATCAGAACTTGGGTGTCTTGAAAGCATATAGAATTAATTTAAGGAGACTAATGGATGAATATTAAACCAACTAAGACTAGAAAGCTCTTTAAACTTTCGTCGATAGAGCACAACCTAGTCTAGAAGGTAGGAATAGCATGCAATGTCTATCTAAAAGCAAATCTTTATGCTTGGATAGCTTTTTCGAGAAATGACATTTGATATTTTCTTGCTGATATTTAGTGATAGGTAAATGAGATGAAAGAAATAAAAATAGTACGCACACGGTCAATTACGATATAAAAACTTCATACATACACATGTACACAGCCAAACATATCACACGCATTTCCATGCTTGCAAGGTCATACATGGGTTATAATCAACTCGGCATTAAGGTCCTTTTCGTGAGAGCGCAATACCCGGAGTAGAAATAAAACTCTTATGATTGCATGCCAATGAAAGTATAAACGAAAGAAGTCAGCTCAGCACAAGAGATTGGAAAAAAAAACGAATATCAAAGCAATTTCGCTTGCGACAGCATCAATTTTTTGTTTGTAAGCAGTTTTTGCCACTTAGAACCAATAAGCATAAATTGTTGGCGAATATTGCACAGCACTTGGACACTCCATGGTTCATTGCAGCTCAGACACAAAATGGAAACAGTGGAAAGGATAAAGGGAAATACAGAATGGAAGGAAACATATAAAGGCACGCAGTCCATTTTCTTTCAAATAAAACAAAAGAACCAGCGGGAGAAATACAAAAGCAACGGTATAACAGGCATGAAAGGGGAGGAGGGAGAAACATCACCATTATTTCCACTTCACTAAGATTTCCCGAAGGCGTCGTCATCACAAAACTGTTACGCTTGTGGATTTCAATCTGCTGCATTATTTGGGCTAAATACTTAGTTGGCGAAGTGTGTGAGTGTATTAGAGGAGGTACAAATTATTATGAAAAGATATGATGATGACAACAATTTGTTTTTTTTTTGATAATACTACTAGTGTACTAGTAGTGTCAGAGGAAAGGCTTGCGCTTTGAAACTGTATATTGTAGTTATTAAAGTAGTAATTTTATTCGATTTCGGTAGTCACAGTAAACATATTAAATTGTTGTAAATTTTTTATACTTTTCGCAATACATTACCTGATCTGAAGTGTGCGATAATCCTTCGGTAGTGGCTTTACAAGGTAATCCAGGTCCTTGTGAAAGCGAATAAGCGTTCATCTATTTATTTGGATACACAAATTTCAAAGACCTTCGATTTTCAAGGCTATTCACTTACGATTCCACATTTATTTGCACTCAAACACTTTTCTTGCTTTCAAGCTGACTTGACATTTGGAATGCAATGCAAATTATTTGTCAGATACTTAACACTTTCCCAACTTTTCTAATTGCTTCAAAAACACTTCACTCAAACTAACGCCAGGTTAAAATATTTATTTTCTCTGCTTTCACATTTGCATTTGCATTTGCATTTGCTCTAGCTTTGTTATACCGTCGGACTTGAAAACGCACACTGAGTTGTTTTGGCACACAATTTTTTTTATTGCAAGACAGTGTTGCATTTGGCATGGAAGTCAAGCTTCAATTAATCATATAAATATGTATGTACATATGTATGTATGTAGTATATTTGGCACTTCGTATTTAATAACTCCGGCGATGATAGACTTTTATAAATCATTCAAACATTTTCAGCATCCTTCGCCTTCCACAAAAATTCTTTAACTCCCACTGGACACTTGACAATTGGGTGTTTACCGTTATGCACAGATTTCGAAATCTTCCGCTAATTGCGACCAATAGCTCCAAGAAACAAACGCGAACTGTGCAAAAGCAAATTTCATCACATCCTTTTGCCGCAACGTTGCTGATAAGCCGCTTGGGCAGTAAATTTCGGAGACTGGAAGCAATGAACAGGAATGACTAGAAAGTAAAAACAAAAATATCTGAAATAAAGAGCGAGCGACAAAGGATGCTCACCGAGGACTTTCCATATACATAGATAGCGAAAAAGGAGCACGTGAGAGAGAGAGAGAGAGATAGAGAAAAAGCTAACTCCTCGAAAAGAGCTTTTGGTTTGTTTACATTGCTCACACAACTCAAGCCGGGACTACTTTTTGTATAGCGAAAAAAATATCCTTTGTTTCCATTTTCTTTCCTTATTTTTGGACTCTTTCGTCGCTGCCATTTCCTGCTAGCACCGATTAAACGAACATAAAAATTACGTGTTGCTTTCATATGCAGATGTACATATGTATGTCGGTATGTATGTATAACTGTAAATATGTTTTGCAGGATGTGAGTCCTGTGCGCTCGCTTATTTACAACACTACCTCACGTGACTGACTTTGCAATGCGTCGCAAATAACTAACAAATACATATACATATACATACTTACATATGTATGTATGTACTTCACACTCCCTCCGCTTTGGCGTCAATTGGGTCCTCCTGCCTGCCGTCAACGTAACAAAGTGTGGCGCCCAGCCGGTGCAAAATAAATATACGAAATAGTTTTCCTTCAAAACAACATTTTTACAATAACAAATACGCTTGTTTGCATTGTCGTCATTTTTGGGTTGGTCCAGCCAGGCATTCGCATTAGGCAATTTGCATTAGGCTGTGTGAATTTTATAATTATTCAAAAAGTTCAGGACTAACAAGTGAAAGCGCCAGGGTGAGACATCTAATTAGAATTCTTAAATGCTCATTAATTCAGCTCACCCTCAATTAGGCAGTGAATGCTAAGTGAATTTTGACATGCAATAAAAATGTAGTAAAACATATTCGTACATAC